ATTATTCATCTCAGTGAAGTGATCTGGGTGCTATGTGCAGAACTCCAGAGACCTGGACTTGTGAGGGAGATAAGGTAAGTTAAATCACCTTTTAAACCCTGGTAGCAGGGGTCCGGTCACCTAAATGAACACACGTTCAGGAATTTGTATTTTATAACACTATAGTGTCCCTTTAATAATCATGCAAAGAATGAAAGAGTCATGACTCGCATTTGTAAGGTCATTTTAGCAGTTACATCATCGCCCCTTCTTCAAGTCTATCTAAAGTATTTCCTTATGTTGTAAATCCGTTGTACATAATATATTGGAAAGACTATGGTTGGCTGAGAGTATTGTGCGTTATAGAGCGGAAATTGCTGGAGAACCTGCAAGTAATCCAGCATTTTCTTTATGTGACACAATACAACTGTAGTCTTTAAAAGACAGAAAAATAATTGATCCCCTAAATAAAACAGTTCTCTCAGCCCTGGTGCGGCTCGAGCCAGAAGAAGGCAAATCCAGAAGAAATGTCCGAATGTGATCACAAAAGGGGACAGAATTTCTTATTTTACCGACATTGGTAATTTGATTTCCCCAGGAGTAACAAGCTATTATTACAGGATCACGGTTATTAAAGGAACACTATAGTGCTAGGAATACAAACTAGGAAGGCAATGACTCAATGCTTTCGTATGGGGGAATTTGAAGACACTAAGTGTCTACGTCCAGCGGCATTTCACAGAGTTAAACTTCGGGAGGAGCCAGAAAGTGCATCTAGTGGCTGTTTTGAAAACAGCAATTAGAGGTGGAGTTAACCCTGCAATGTACTTATTGCAGTTTCAATGTGGGATTAAGGGGACAGGGACACTGCACCCACACCACTTTAATGAGCTTAAGTGGTCTGGGTGCCTATAGTTTTGCTTTGGCACCGTAACATAAAGGGTCGCTTTGGCACCATAACAATGGTGTAGAGAACAGCCTCCACCATACCTTCCAACAATGGGTTGAAGTACATGGGACGGAGGACTTGGTGACAGTCGGTGGGTCTGCTTGGGAAAGGGACGGCCCATCCATAAAACGTCACAAACCCCTATAATGAGAGAGTTCAGATTTGTGAAATCCCATTCCTGCAAAGAGAGGGGTCGATTATCCTGTGAAAATGCTGCCATTCTAAGACCTTTGAAGGGAAGTATGTTTTTACCTTAATATATTCATGCATTAGGTATATAATAGATGTAAAAAAATGGGAGAACCGTAAATACTGCTTTGCAAAAAATAAAAAAGTTAATTTTGAAAGGCTTCTTTTGAATTTGTTAAAGAAACCTCTCTAGGCAAAGCGCTCTGCATCCTTATTGTTCTTACTGTAAAGAACTCCCTCAGCTGTTGCATTCTCTGTACTGGAGCACAAACAATGCGCATCAATAAATCGAGAAATAATTCGCACTCCAGGTGATCACAGAATGTACAGGCTATACATGATATACAACATACAGAACAAACTAAACAGATGGAATAATAAAAATGAACGCAGTTACTCGTTGATCCCCGTTACAGAGTTATTTAAAGCAGGGAGGATATTGCTTACCCCAATTGTCACAATATCATCTGCATCGGAGGGGACTGCAAGACAGTAATACTGATGGAGGACGTGGTGCACCACAAAAATTGTCTGCAGGTTTATAACCCTGAAATACTACATTCATAATGCATTAGAAATAAATGTTTTTTATTAGGAAATAAAAGGTGCGTAACTTGTAAGTGACAGCATCTCTTGATGCATTTTAGATCTCTTAACACTCACATTGTTCTTTTACTATATTATTTGTTATATTATAAATGTCCCAATATTTCAAACCAACGGATTCGATGTTGGGCGCATGCCTGATGAGTGGGGTGCATTTCCAGTTCCTGCAGTTCCTGTGTTATGCAGAGGGACTGAAAATGTGGTTCCCACTTGTTTTGTCAGAAGTATTTACATGTGTTGTTAATCCATTGTACAGCACTGTGGAATATTTTGGATCTTTACAAATAATAATGATTTGAGTGCCCGAGTAAAAAAAAAAAAAGACTTTGCAACTAGAGAGACTATGGTTGGCTGAGGATTTTGTGATGCATTCATACAGTGATGGATTCTATCAGAGTGGAGGGAGACTCTGGTCACATTGAGGGATATATATATATATATATATATATATATATATATACATACACACACACAGGATGTAATGCTCGATCATATATCTATAATAAACCTGGTACATGTGTTTTCTGTTTGTGAACATTACATTATAGCTTTGTATAATAAAATCATAAAAGCGTATGACTGACTGATTCCTCTTCTGCAACTGTCACTAGTCTAATAACTAACTATCCTTACCTTTTTGTGTCATTTTAGGTAAGCTCATTGAGCAGGGCCCTCAACCCCTCTGTTCCTGTGTGTCCAACTTGTCTGGTTACAACTACATGTCTGTTCGTCCACCCATTGTAAAGCGCTGCGGAATTTGATGGCGCTATATAAATAACTTAATAATAAAAATGTTTAGTGCAACTCTGTTACACTCACACACATTGCTTTTTACTGTGAGCTTTTTTGTGGTGCAGCTCTGTGATATACGCATAGACCCTGACTTTATTAAGTTGTATTTTGATCTCCCTTGATATCACTTGCTAGAATATTGTGATACAATATGCACAATACTTATCCTTTCGTTGCAATGTGTGGCTCTCTTCAAGTTAGCAGAAAGTCTTTTAAGTTGGGGTCCCTATAGGTATTGTATTTATTTGTTTTAAATGTTTTTGTGTGGAGACAGGTTATTATAGCAATAAATTGGTGAAGATTTCGGGGCTCCCTGCTATGTATTTAATAATGTTAGGTCCTGTTAATAGTTGTTTGCAGCTTGTATACTGGGATAAATCTTAGGTTTGTCAAATCTCTCTGTCTCCCTTTTCTAATAGTGCAGAATATTTAGTGCGTCTGCGTGTATAACAGCTGCACCCCCAACTTGAAACCGAGTTCCGGGCTGCCTAAGTCACACGTGCCGGGGGTGCAACTAGCCCCCACAAAAGGCTGCACATCCAGACTCCTAACACCAGGACGACTTCTAAAAGCAGAGGTGGTGACAGTTGGGGTAATCCTTTAAATTTGAAATTCACTTCATCTCACTCTAGCAAAGTGTTCCTCTTACTTTTTGTCACATTCCGATTATATTGTATGCTGCTCCAAGGCTTGAGCTCCACCTCACCTCCTGTTTCTGTTCCTAGTGCCACTTTTTCGTTCGATAGACCTCCCCACCTACGCAAAACTATGCACTACTTCTCAGATACATCCTACCATTTTCCACTCTGAAAGAGGCACTTTTAATGATTTTCCTTAAAAGCAAATCAATATCCTATTCAATAGAAGGCTTGCATTTAACAGAAACCAATACACACGGCACATGCTTGCGTTAGTAATGCATACTGCGCCCACATTAATATAAATGTATATACATACATTATTTAAACACACACAGTCCAGCACCATATGTATTGTGTAAGTAATGCATACAGTGGCCACGCTAATATTTTTATACATAAATACACACAATCCCGCACTGTATGTATTGTCTTCTTAGCGCACACTGTGTATATTTGGGTCTGCGCCGTATACATGGGCGTAGTAAACACAGTGCTCCCAGTTTGTATATGCAGTCCTCCACTGTATGTAGGGTTCTAGCAATGCACAATGTATCTACTATCCTGCAATGTGTGTATTATCTTGGTAAATATTATTAATATTTATAAAGGGTCAACAAGTTCCGCAGCACTGTACAATAGGTGGACTAACAGACACATATTTGTAACCAGACGAGTTGGACGCACAGGAATGGGGGAGGTAGACGGGTGGGAAGGTTGAGGTTCTAGCTCAAATGAGCTTACATTCTAGAAGGAGCGGGGTAATGAGACACATGAGGTAAGGGTAGGGTAGTAAAGTAGGTTGCTAGAATAATTTTAAGTGAAGGCTTAGTTTTTGGGGGGTTTTGGGATGGAACTTGCAGAAGAAGAAGCAAAGTTTAGTCTTTCCCCAGTTTAAGGCATAGTTTCATTCATTGAAAAAAAAAAAAAATGAAACTACTTTACCGGCTAATAAAAGCAAAGTGTTCCTGCAGTACAGACTTTCTGATAGAAAGTTGCAAGAAATCAGTTTAGCCTCGTCCTGTAGTTATCCATCTAAATGTCACCCCTTTTTGCTTTGCCCTCAGCCCACATCACATCTCAACCTAAAGTGCAAACTCTGCATTTATCCTCCCGTCATACAACCCCAACTTCGGTCTTTCCTGCCTTGCATACATCAATTGAATGGTTAAAGAGCAAAAAAGTCTCTAACTGCAAATCAATATCCCTTTCTCTCCTAGGGAAAGAAAACACATTATTCAGATATTTTCTTAGCCTCTGAGTACACAGCCTGATCAATGCTCTCATGAACATTGTACTTTTTCCATTTAGAAGGCCATATTTTCTCCAGACCACCCTGCGTAATGTAACTCATGGAATTTTGTCACAAGAAAAGTATTAATGTGACTTTCATGACAAACGAGGGAAAGTCTTGTTTTTAAATACATTGAATGTTACCTCTGCATTTCGCTAGTCAAATAGTTAGAACATGAGTAAATACAGGGGTTTAATAACTAAACAATGAATTGTATTTACAGTCAAATTGAACAAATTGGATTATTCATAGTCCCAGATTTAGTATTGTAGCCTAAATTTTGCAGTTTGGATATAATGATACAATTCGGGTTTTAATTCATTACAGTTTGGAGTTAAGGAAATCAACTTCAAAGTTTTCAAGCAACATTCTATCATCTACACTTTGATAATAAAGACAGAGGGGCTGATCCCCAATGGGGAACGATTACAAATACAGCCGCAGCTGCCCACATGGTTGCATCAGCTATTTTGGATTAGGAAGAAACAGGATAGAATTTCAATAAATCTATACATGGAAATCATCGAAACACAGTCTTCTTTGAGAGATATTTATTAACAATATTCAACAGAGCAACCAGATTTGTACATAGAAAATGGAACATTATATACTTTAATATATATACATATTTACACATTTTTAACAGATGAGGCCATACTTAGCAGATCTGCACCGTGCTCCCAAGACCAGATGTCCATGTATAATATATCAGTGTAGGCAACATGACCCACTACAGCTTAGTGTATTATTACAGCCTGGTGGAGTGCTTATGTTGGAGTGGGCACCCCAATTATTTTGTTAAATTGTTTGGGAATGGTTTAACAATAAGCGGGGCTCTCTAATGCTCTCAGAGCCTTTCCCCCACCTCGATTGCACTGATAATATGTAATTTGCACTACCGCATTAATAATGTCTTTGGTAAATAAGCTGAACATGCTGGGCTAATGCTCCCTTAGCATTCTCTGCCTTTCACTGCCATCCAGTTTGGACAGAATAGACACCGAAAATGAAGAATTGTACATTCTGTATTATCATTGCAGCTAAGGAAGGTCTCAATTCTTGTGAAACCAATCTCAACATGTTGGAAAAAGAATTATGAAACAGTGCACACAGACATAACCACTACATGGGGCTGTAGTAATACCCTGAGCTGTAGTAATGCACCAAGCTGTGGTGTATAAAGTGTCCCATTAATTCAGCAGACACCCTGTCTCCTTAAGGTTTATTTAATTTTGTAATGGCATTGAACCCTGCACCCTAGATATTTAACTACATTCTATCTGATGCCCAACCTGAGCTCAGGGTAATAGTTAGGGATGTGTACGGGTGAAAAAATGTTTTGTTGAAACAATGAAGGTGGCAGTCACAATGTACCAATTTAGAGAGTTATTTGCTAAACTATCAAAATTAAGAAAAGTCCTGTTCTTAATTTTGATCTTTCAGCTGTTTACTAGACTCTCTGATTCCCTATCCTTAAGTAGGATTGCCATAAGGATACTAATTACCAAATAAGGGAGTTATCTGCTAAACAGATGAAAGATTATTAGGAATTCTAAAGAAAAGCCCTTATTTGCTCTCTTTACCAAATCCAATGGGTTTGAAATAATGAATTTCGTATTCAATTATGTTTTCAAATTCGGAACAAAAAAAATGCACGTGTCTAATAATGGTCAGGTTTGGTTCCTTTGCAGTATCGGGGGGAATGTAAAAATACAAAGCAAATTTAAGGTGAGCATTCAATTCTGATCATGACTTATGTGACTTGCGGACTGGACTCCGTAATATTAATGGATCAGTTTGTCTGTCAAGCCTGATATTGTTTTCATACCTTTTGCTGAAGGTATCCAGAGCTTTGGAATGTAGCAGAACCATATAAATAGATTATTGATAATAGATTATTGATAATGGTCTCTGCTTCACCAAAAATGGTTAAAAAGGTTATCGCCTTGTGACCTATATAAAAGGTTTTCAGTGTAGCATTGGTTCATGTTTTATTTCGGCAGAAACTGCGCTTGTGAGCTCAACAGCCAGGAACGCTGGGCAATAAGGGCAGTGCTGGCAATCTTGCTAGGTTTTACAACGCAACCCGATTATACTGCCCCCAAAGAAAAAACCCATGCGAAAAGTTAATTAAAGGGACACTCTTAGCACCAAAACCAGCATATCTTAAAGTAGTGAAAAATTTAGCAGTTTCAGAGAAATGTCAATGTTGAGATTTGAGAATGTGCCTCTAGTGGCTGTCATTGTGTCAACCACTGGAGCCTCTTCCTCAAAAACTGATCGTCGTCATGTTCGGTGCTGAATATATCCAATGATATGAGAAACCTAGACTTGCACCAAGATCATCACAAATGATGGGTTACATCAGGCTCACAATCTTAATAGGGGAAGGGGGACTCATGATGTAAATTAATGTACACACCAAGAGTAGAAATATTTATACTTAGTCCTGGAATGTTCCGTTAATTTGCATGACATTTTTCAGGAGACGACTGTGATGTCAGAATTTAGTTTTGCCATATGAAATTTTAAACCATGTATTATGCAGCCACACAACTAATCGTTGCTTATGGTTGCTAATTAAAAACAAATAAAATGCTCTTATCCCTAAGGTGTCCGTTCCTCTTTGGCGGTTGGAAATGTGGCGATGATGTGGTCAGAGTTTAAGTTGATGCATGGGTGTACAACATCCTGCAGGCAGTTAACATGTTAAACAGGCTTATGTGTTAAAGCCTGAAAACAAGGCAGAAGAGGGTCACGGTCAGTAAAGGGGGGTGGGGAGGAATTGGGAGAATCTGCTGTTAGTTTGGACACCAGTCAAAAAGGTCTTTCCAGAAGCTGCTTGCGTGGTGACAGAATTTACATTTAGGAGATAAAAGGAAGGGAGGGGGTGATACATCTGAGCAGAGCCAGATACAGAATCATGGGACTGATGGAAAAAGCCGAGAGATTCTAAGAAAACCTGGAGGGGGACCATGCGCGGAGAGGAGGGGGAAAGAGCGGACATAAGGTCAGGAGAAGCGACAGAATATTCACAGAAACAGTGGGAATCGGGGTAAAGAGGAACATTGTATCCAAGACGGTTCTGTTTAAGGAACAAAGATCAACTAGTGGGTTAGGGAAGGGATGGGGATACAGGATAAGAAATGTTCCCCTCTACCATCCATAAGAAAGAAAAGACAATTATTTTGGAAAATATTGCAAAATGTTGAAATCTGCAACATCAGACCGGACTTCTCAGATTAGGAAAAATATCAAAGTCAGCTTTTTATAGAGCCCTACCTAACACGACTTCTAGATAATAGGCTAAGTGTATAAAAACATAAATAGGTACCATGATAGGGTAATTTGGTTTAAATTATGTGCCTGACAGAAAAACTAGAGAGGTAGTTTAGATCTGCTTAGGATACCGGAGCAGGTAAATATATAGTCAGTACAAACTATTCATTAAACATTGACAATGGCCAATGACCTAGAGATCACAGCCTGTTCTTTGTGTGCCATAGAATCAGAGGGGTGCTGGAGCACATACCATCATATAACTTGCGGGGGGCACAGGGCACAGAGTTCATTGCAGGTGGCTGGTTGTAATGCGTGTCTTCTCCAATTAAATCGGAGAAGAGATTCAATTGCTTCTGGAGGCTCTCCAAACGTTCATCATTCGTTTTAATTCCCTGAATCCTCTGAGCAATAATGAAATAGCAGTCGAACAATAGATAGCTTATCATAGTTTGTCAACCCTTGAAGGTCATAGAACGAAAGCAAACGTTTATTTTAATCTATGTATCTCCGCACTTTGCTTACAGCTTATTATCTCTTCTCTAAGCTAAGGAAAATGGCCCCTGGCAGCGACTCAGTGATGGGTGGTGAAAGGAACATGATTTAAGAAGTTCATCAAAGGGATAGGAGTTTATCCAAGACTGTGCCCAACAGATAAAAAGCTGATGTGATATCAATGCCAGTCAGTTACCAAAGATAGAGCAGGAGTGTGTCCACAGCAGGCGTTGCAGGTTCACGGAGTCTGGAAAATGGGTGGAAAGTTTGGTAGTAAAACCCAGACGTTGTCCCTGTATTGGAATTGGCCAGAAAAAAAAATACTAGCTATTTTGAATCCATTGCTTTGTTATCTGCAGCCAAGGGAAGATGTTTATCAAACATTTACATTTTCTGTGTTCGTTTTACTTATAAATAACAATTCCAGATTTATTTGAATAATTCTTGAATAATAATGTGGTAACAAGATGCCATGGAAAATTAATGAAAAGATAAACAGTCATTTTCCACACTTTCTCAGGAATTTCCATATTGGAATGACAGTGCATCCTGGCTTCTTGGACATTAGGAATCGGACATTTTGGCTATTCCATTTGATATTTTTCCCCATATTGTGTAATGCAGGACTCGTTCACTGACATAAACAGCGCTCGGCTCTCCTCTCTCCCTCGGCTCACAGAACATTTTCCGCACTGTCCGGATCGTCATAGCTGAATCGCCTGTCACTCAGTGTGATGTTCTCGGTGATGCTGCTTATCTTCTCGTGGTCCCGCTGGCTGGAACTGTGCTTGGATTTGCCTGTACCGTTCGTACAAGTGCCAACAAGTTTGTATTTTTCACACACGCTGCCCATGCCAGGGCGGGGTGTTTGGCTGTTTGTATGCTTATATTCGTCTTCAATGTCTTTCCCAAGCTTCCAACGCTTCCATTTCTTTAGGAGCTCTGATTGAACCTGGATCAGAATAGAACAAACAGATCTTTGAGGAAGGAATTAAGAGAGAGCCCTGTCTAACATAATATGCTGCCTGGGAAACGTCAAGGAATCAAATCATTGCCAGACATAATATATACAGACAACACTATTGCCTGGGCACTGCTATTCATTTTCTACTTTCTTTGCCCAAACTAACATTGCCCCGTTTTACTTCCTACAACCTCCTGCTCAGAAAGTTTATCAACTCAACCACAACCTACTCAGATGCTCTCCTCTTCTATTCTTCCACCCTCCTGGCATTGAGATGTTGACCCATATTCTCTTAACACTTAAGAGCCAAGACATTGCCTCACTACTCAGCATTTCTCCACTTATCTCCCTCTAAGATTCTATCCCACCGTTCTCCCTTATACCTCTAGCCTCTAAAGCATCAACTGCCCTCCTGCTTATGTCCCCTCTAAACAGATACTGGAGTAGAGTCTGAAAGAAAACGGAACACACATTCTAGGCATTCTTCTTTTAATCTCAATTGGAGACTTTCCCCCAGATTCTCTCCATTTACTCCAGAGTCACTCTGTCCCTCCCTAGTGTCTTGTTGAGATCTGGACCCCTGTGATTCTAGACAAACTCCATCTCTGGTTTAGACACTGTACCCCTCACCATTTCCATTAGAACTTGGCTTGAGTTTTCAAATAGAGGAAAATGTTATATATTCCTCCATAAATAATGATGCAGATGTTCTGAGCAGGAAGCGGACTCTGTGCACAAGTGACAGTTCAGAGTTATGGCATATGTCGCCTGTGACAGGAGTTAAAGTAGCACTGACACCTAAAAATGAAATCCGGCTTGTGCACATCTAAAATCGCACGTACTCCAAACAAAAGCTTTTCTTTTTAGAGGAGCGTGAGTGTTGTGCTCTCACTTCGCTGCTACTGTGATTATTTGTTTATAGAAGAAAGAAGGCTTTATCCTTGGGAGCAGATCAAGCGGCAGGAGAAATTCTTCCCCTCCAGCCCCTGATAATATGTGGGAAACAATACGGAGCAGTTTCACCCCCGTCATACAAACCAAAGTTTAAGGGGCACACTAGACACTATAACCACTGCAGACTCTCATAATTCCCATTCGGCTTCGCACAAGTCCAGTACAGCACAGACTGAGTGCTGTACTGGACCTGTTTGATATCTCGCTTGATATCTTGTAAAAGTTACACTTTGCTATTGAGTCCAAATTTTAACGGCATTCAGCTGATATGCTAAACCAATGAATGCCTTCCAAGTTTGGACAAAAAAATAGTATTGCTAATGCAGAAGCCCAACTCCTGCAAGAGGCCAAGGAAGTGGCTGAACTCCAGGCACTAGAGGGGAAAAGATCACGACTTGAAGAAAGTTGGGAAAATGTCGGCTCTGGCACAATTGTGAAAAACAGCTGTAATGTAAAATATAAATCACAATTTTATTGTACCAGAGGATGCTGGGTGTTCAGTAGCATGTGTCATACACTTGTGCTTTTTCTGAAGGTAATTATAATGTCAAACTGGCCCATACAAAAACATAACATACAGGGATATAATTTATAATTAGTGGGGTAATAGTGGGGAGACATCTGACTGCTATTTTGGGGTCAAGAAGGAATTTTTTCCTAGTTTGTGGCAAAATTGGAAGCGCTTCAGACCAGGTTTTTTGCCTTCTTCTTTTGGATCAACAGCAACAACATTTGTGAGGAAGGCTGAACTTGATGGACGCAAGTCTCTTTTCAGCTATGTAACTATGTAACTATGTTGAATTCACCCGTGAATTGCAAATTTAAGGTCCAAATGGCTATGCTGGAAGCATTTTTCCAGTTTGGCTATTTTGGTAAAAGCTGTATTCCTGGCACTATAGCTCCCTCTGCCTCCCCCCTCCCTTGCACTACCCATTGCTAGGTTATATTGTCTTTATAGACCTCTAGATATCCCTGTGAAGAAAATATAGATAATACTGACTGTAATACATTAAACGTACCTCCTTGTTCACAAAACAGTACAGCACTGCCACCAGCATGCCCTACAGAAGATGAAAACCATCAGAAATATTAACTGACCACAGACAGACACTAATGGGTTCAGTAGACGAATTAGGGGTGGGATTCGAATAGGAAGACATGATAAGAGTGACTCACCTGGAAGGAACTAAGAAAGAGGTCGAAGAATAATTTGACCATGCGAAGTGTACCCTTTACGTTTTCATCTGTGGCAAAGGCAAACACCAGTTCGTTGATACCCAGCAGTGGAATAAGAGTCAACGTGGATCTAGCCAATCTGGAGAGATGGAATAAGACAAGCATCTGTCTACACCCACCTCTACTCAACAGTTGCTGCACAGTATGCACTGCCCACCACCCAGTACCACTGAAGAATGCCTGTAAAAATACAATTTCTTCAGGTTTTGCAAGTCTCTCACCTGAATTTATAGTCTGTATACCTCATCTGATGAGCTCGCATCTTGGACACCAGAATCTGGATAATCCGAACAAAAATTACAAAGTTGATCTAGAAAAAAAAAAATTAAATAAAAAATTTAAAATGACGGAAAGCATAAATCAATACCTTTATGCTAAAATTAAGTAATTTAGGTATTTCAAGGCCATAACGTTGTGACAATGTGAAATTCCATGAACAAACATGAAGCACCCAACGCGTTTCACACTGCCTTCATGGGAGTGAATTTCACAAATGGCTGGAGCTCAAAACATCACTTCCATACACGATTTACTTACAACATACCAGAATAGTAACAAAGACAGGAGATCTCAGGATCCACCAGTACGCCATGTTATCGTTCTGGGTCCAACACCTGAAGAAGGGTCAAACAAAAAGGCACCCAGTAAGCTAAACATGTCATTACATAACAGAAAATCACCTAACTGTCTGAAGAGCTTTGAAATCATCGTATAGGAAAGAGGATGACAGATTTATATTTAATTGTAATGCTTTCTCTCCCCACTATTGATATCAATTGAGCATCCACATATGCAAACGATCTGATAATGTCACTAAGGTACAAGGCAGCCAATTAAGGTTTAAATTCTATGTTATCGTCATTAACATTGTCTAATTACAAGATTGCATACTCTGTTTTTGTTTTTTTTGAGTGTGCACGTCACATTGAAACATTATAGAACGGAGACGGCTAACTTTGAGTGAACTATATTTCCCATAAGGTTTAGGATGAACTGAAGCTCACACGTGTGTGGTGCCAAGATTACCCATCTGTGCTTTGCAAGCAGCAGCTTGTCAAACCACACAGTGCCTTTGTGTTATCTGTTAATAGAACGATCTCATTGAAGGAAACCGATCACCTAAAAATTGTTATTATTGATCATTAATACTTTAAGCACTAACAAATGAACTTTTTGGGGTTTCTTTCATTGTATCCATTTGTAATGTCAACACTGGGACTCCCTAAATGGAAAATGCAATGTTAAATATTTAATTTACCTAAAGGGCTACGTGTGTTTTTTCCAAAGACTGCCATGGCTGTAACTTTAAACCTAGTCTGACTACTAAATAAGTCATTGACAGCCACGTAGAGATGGGAAACATGCGCTAAAGAAGGGGTGGGGAACCTTTTATCTGCCAAGGGCCATTTGGATATTTAAAACATCATTCGCGGGCCATACAAAATTATCAAATTAGCCTGCTGTATTGATCAAACATTTAATTAACTAATTTCTAATGTGATGGTTGGAACTGCTTCTCTTTGGTATGATGTTAGCTGGTATTGATGATGTTGTTACTAGCAATGTGTGTGTGTGTGTAGTGCGTGTGGGTGTGAGAGGGGTGTAGTGTGTGGGTGTGAGAGGGCTGTGTGTGTGTGAGGGGTGTAGTGTGTGAGAGGTGCAGTGTGTGTGAGGGGGTGCAGTGTGTGTGTGAGGGGGTGCAGTGTGTATGTGAGGGGGTGTAGTGTGTGTGAGGGGGGTGTAGTGTGTGTGAGGGGGGTGTCAATCAGACAATTAGTACTGTTACTTCCTGGTTTGGTTAGCTCAGTGAATCTAAATTCAAGAGTCAGGCAATTATCCAGAGCACCTGCCTTGCAAAGACTTCTCATTGAGCTGCATTGGGAAGTCTGTGATTGGACAGCCACAGAAAGTCTGGGCGGGGTTAGAAGGGGAGGGCTTGCAAAGTCAGCAGACAAGAGTTCTGCTGCTTTTGCAAAATAAAATATATATTTTTTAAAATGTATATACGCATGCATGTTTTCATTGGGGATATAAATAGTGATTATTATTATTTTTTTATTTGGGCATTAGGGTGCCCTTTAATAGCTTACCCTGTGGTACATCCTATTCAGAAAACCGCAAGCAAGGATCAAACTGATCTCACCACAGGCAGTATGCAAGAGAAAAGCCAGGGAAGTTCTCTCTGCACAATATATATATTTCAAACCTTGCTTCTCATTACAGTCTGGACAGGCTTTGTCGGTCATGTATGTGTGACACAACCTGCAAGGGGTCTAGCTATGGATTACTCTTTTAGATCTGGGGATAAGTAAGTAAAACAACAGCAAATTGGGTGTTTTGCTCAAAACAGAAAAACATGGTTAAGCAAAACAGCCCCAGGCAAAACACACTCACAGCAACTACAATGACAGGTCTTCCCTGTATTAGCGATACACACTATCTTTTACAGTCTGTTTGTAAAGTGTTGCCCTTCCTGCATTTCAAGCAATGTTAAAATACTCCAAATGGCCACATCTACTAAACCCTTTGCCACTCAGAGGGATACTTGTAACCCCTCTTCGTGCATTCACTGATGTGTTATGAAGCCGTTTGCTGGCTGGCTCCTCTCCAGGGTTTCCGGAAATTGGATTGTCTCTCTGACAGCAGCTAATGAGTCTTATCAGGAACAGCGTCTAGATAAACAGATGTGATTCCATGTGAGTGGACTAGTGTGATTATCCACCTGCTGTATGTTTTGCTAATGTTATTTTATAGCTAATTCCTAGTCATACCCCATCCCTTGACTCCAGAAATCGTGATACGGAGCAATAGCTTTAAATTAAGAAGTGTTGTCTAATTACCTACAGATAAGACAATCCCCCAAGGCTAACTAACTCACACACCCTCGGAATTCTAGCAGTCATTGAATTATAGGGATGGCTCAACTGTTGTAGAACTATACCACCTGTTATGCCAGCCTCAAGACTTGCAAAGCATTGTGGGAGATGGGGGTCTAGCTTTTGGCCATCACTACTCTTGTAACCTTTGGCACTCTAACTGCTGGGGATCACTTAATGAACGCCTGCTGGGCATCATGGGAGCTGTAATCCACGGCAGCTGGATTGCCAGAGGCTAAACATTTCTAAGCTAACTTCAACTCTCCTTTGAAAGTATCAGCAAACACTAGAATGAATACATAGGTTACTTTATGTTTATCAATAAACCCTTGATGCCAATGTAAATTAATTACAAATATATTAATGCTGCAAAAACTAAATTTCAAATTAATGTTACTTCCACCATCAAGCGTAGTGCTGCTGCCCCCATCTCTGGGGCTGGCACCATTCAAAAAGACAGAACTCCCTCTTCTCTTAGGATTGGATGGTTTCCGAAAAGTACCAAAAGTAGGAGAGTTTTATTGGCTGGGGATCATTCCGAAAGTGAAAAATTAGGTAATATCTTAATTCCATGCCAGTTATTTCCCCAAGGAGGACCTAAAAGCAGCATTCTTTGAAAGATTTGAGCTCTTTATTGCATGTTTTCTTTTCATTTTTGAAGGATAATATTCTTTTAGTGTGTATTCTGCTGCTAACCTCTAAACATTATAGTTTGCGGCGGAAGCCATGCTAGCAGCGAGCTGTGCTATTTGCGTCTTGCGGTTGATTAGCCCTACTAAGATATGGAAGGTTTGTGACGATTGGGGGATATGAATGCAGAAATGCAAATTTAAACAACTTTATATACAAACATTTCATTCCTGTGTATTTTTAAACTGACCACTTTTTAATGTGAAAACCTTGCGTTTGCATGTTGCTCTGATTGAACAGAGACAAACAGGTGGAGGAAATTATATTATGATAGATTATCTAAGTGATCTGATTCCCCCCACACACATAGAATTTGCTATCCATGTGAACAATGGTCTCAGATATACAAGTCTTTTCTCTTTATTACAGGATGTGGTGTATATGGTCGACAATGACATGACTGTCTTTCACCTTATTATCAGTCATCTTTTAAATTTTTATAGCAAATAAACCCACATTCTGAGAATGTCATTTATCATTAGTTTGTATCTAAATGAAACTATAAATGTGCATTTTTTTGATTATCTTTACATTTTAATAAAGATAACGGGTACATCTATCTTCTGTTAACATTCAATATACATATCCTGCAATACCTCCCAAGCGCTGACTGTACCCTCTTCTGGCACAGTACCCAGTGGCTGTGTTACAGGGGTTCAGGGTAGAGATGTGAGTGAATTTTCTGAACCCACTGGAATAAGCTGATTTGCGAGGGTTCTTTTTATTCAGTAGGAGGCAACTTTTATCAAGATGTATTCTATTCATTTTTTATTACAATTAAACATGAGCAGTATTCTTATTAAAGTGCATGATTTTACAGAGCATCAAACAGTGGCCCAACACAATGTCATCCTCTGTTGATGGTGGTTTTGGCAGAGCCAGGCTCATTAATTGCCCTGTTCAGTAGGCACCTCTCCAGCTTCCTAGATTTCCTTATGGACTTTGCCTTGCAAAATAGGCAGATAACCGTATTACCTATACAAACATACATACAGGTACTTACGCTTTATTTTCATACATATATTTCATGACTACCCAAGGGATGATGAACAGCACTGGGGCACCTGCAAGAGAACAGAATAATTATTACTCAAGTGTCAATGTAATTATTGGGGGAATATTGATACTCCCTTATACATGGTCTATTATAATTGCAGCTATAAGGTTATGGTGTAAGCAGGTCCCCTGTCTCCCTGCACACAGTGTATTATAACTGCAGCTATAAGGTTATGGTGTAAGGAGGTCCCCTGTCTCCCTGCACATGGTGTATTATAACTGCAGCTATAAGGTTATGGTGTAAGGAGGTCCCCTGTCTCCCCGCACACAGTGTATTATAACTGCAGCTATAAGGTTATGGTGTAAGGAGGTCCCCTGTCTCCCCGCACACAGTGTATTATAACTGCAGCTATAAGGTTATGGTGTAAGGAGGTCCCCTGTCTCCCCGCACACAGTGTATTATAACTGCAGCAATAAGGTTATGGTGTAAGGAGGTCCCCTGTCTCCCCACACAGTGTATTACAACTGCAGCTATAAGGTTATGGTGTAAGGAGGTCCCCTGTCTCCCTGCACACAGTGTATTATAACTGAAGCTATAAGGTTATGGTGTAAGGTCCTGTCCCTTTTTGGTGTGTCCTGTACAGCCTATAAGGTTATGGTGTAAGGAGGTCCCCTGTCTCCCCGCACACAGTGTATTATAACTGCAGCTATAAGGTTATGGTGTAAGGAGGTCCCCTGTCTCCTCGCACACAGTGTATTATAACTGCAGCTATGAGGTTATGGTGTAAGGAGGTCCCGTGTCTCCCCCCACACAGTGTATTATAACTGCAGCTATAAGGTTATGGTGTAAGGAGGTCCCCTGTCTCCATGCACACAGTGTATTATAACTGCAGCTATAAGGTTATGGTGTAAGGAGGTCCCCTGTCTCCCCACACACAGTGTATTATAACTGCAGCTATAAGGTTATGGTGTAAGGAGGTCCCCTGTCTCCCCGCACACAGTGTATTATAACTGCAGCTATAAGGTTATGGTGTAAGGAGGTCCCCTGTCTCCCCACACACAGTATATTATAACTGCAGCTATAAGGTTATGGTGTAAGGAGGTTCCCTGTCTCCCTGCACACAGTGTATTATAACTGCAGCTATAAGGTTATGGTGTAAGGAGGTCCCCTGTCTCCCCGCACACAGTGTATTATAACTGCAGCTATAAGGTTATGGTGTAAGGAAGTCCCCTGTCTCCCCGCACACAGTGTATTATAACTGCAGCTATAAGGTTATGGTGTGAGGAGGTCCCCTGTCTCCCCGCACACAGTGTATTATAACTGCAGCTATAAGGTTATGGTGTAAGGAGGTCCCCTGTCTCTCTGCACACAGTGTATTATAACTGCAGCTATAAGGTTATGGTGTAAGAGGGTCCCCTGTCTCCCCGTACACAGTGTATTATAACTGCAGCTATAAGGTTATGGTGTAATGGGGTCTCCTGTCTCCCCGCACACCGTGTATTATAACTGCAGCTATAATGGTTAGGTCCCCTGTCTCCCCGCACACAGTGTAATTATAACTACAGCTATAAGGTTTTGGTGTAAGGAGGTCCCCTGTCTCCCCGCACACAGTGTATTATAACTGCAGCTATAAGGTTATGGTGTAAGGAGATCCCCTGTCTCTCTGCACACAGTGTATTATAAATGCAGCTATAAGGTTATGGTGTAAGGAGGTCCCTTGTCTCTCCGCACACAGTGTATTATAACTGCAGCCATAAGGTTATGGTGTAAGGAGGTCCCCTGTCTCCCGCGCAGTGTATTATAACACCTGGCTATAAGGTTATGGTGTGGGAGGTCCCTGTCTCCCTGCACAGTGTATTACTAACTGCAGCTATAAGGTTATGGTGTAAGGAGGTCCCCTGTCTCCCGCACACAGTGTATTAACTGCAGCTACTCAGGTTATGGGTATGTAGGGGGTCCCCTGACCACTTTTTGGTGTATTATAACTGCAGCTATAAGGTTATGGTGGGAGGTCCCTGTCTCCCCGCACACAGTGTATTATAACTGCAGCAATAAGGTTATGGTGTAGAGAGGTCCCCTGTCTCCGCGGACACAGTGTATTATAACTGCAGCTATAAGTTTATGGTGTAGAGAGGTCCCCTGTCTCCCCGCACACAGTGTATTATAACTGCAGCTATAAGGTTATGGTGTAAGGAGGTCCCCTGTCTCCCCGCACACAGTGTATTATAACTGCAGCAATAAGGTTATGGTGTAGAGAGGTCCCCTGTCTCCCCGCACACAGTGTATTATAACTGCAGCTATAAGGTTGGGTGTGAGGGGTCCCTGTCTCCCGCGCACAGTGTGTATAGCACAAGCTATAAGGTTATGGTGTAAGGAGGTCCCCTGTCTCCCTGCACACAGTGTATTATAACTGCAGCTATAAGGTTATGGTGTAAGGAGGTCCCCTGTCTCCCCGCACACAGTGTATTATAACTGCAGCTATAAGGTTATGGTGTAAGGAGGTCCCCTGTCTCCCTGCACACAGTGTATTATAACTGCAGCTATAAGGTTATGGTGTAAGGAGGTCCCCTGTCTCCCCTCACACAGTGTATTATAACTGCAGCTATAAGGTTATGGTGTAAGGAGGTCCCCTGTCTCCCGCACACAGTGTATTATAACTGCAGCTATAAGGTTATGGTGTAAGGAGGTCCCTGTCTCCCTGCACACAGTGTATTATAACTGCAGCTATAAGGTTATGGTGTAAGGAAGTCCCCTGTCTCCCCGCACACAGTGTATTATAACTGCAGCTATAAGGTTATGGTGTAAGGAGGTCCCCTGTCTCCCCGCACACAGTGTATTATAACTGCAGCTATAAGGTTATGGTGTAAGGAGGTCCCCTGTCTCCCGCACACAGTGTATTATAACTGCAGCTATAAGGTTATGGTGTAAGGAGGTCCCCTGTCTCCCCGCACACAGTGTATTATAACTGCAGCTATAAGGTTATGGTGTAAGGAGGTCCCCTGTCTCCCGCACACAGTGTATTATAACTGCAGCTATAAGGTTATGGTGTAAGGAGGTCCCCTGTCTCCCGCACACAGTGTATTATAACTGCAGCTATAAGGTTATGGTGTAAGGAGGTCCCCTGTCTCCCCGCACACAGTGTATTATAACTGCAGCTATAAGGTTATGGTGTAAGGAGATCCCCTGTCTCCCTGCACACAGTGTATTATAACTGCAGCTATAAGGTTATGGTGTAAGGAGGTCCCCTGTCTCCCCGCACACAGTGTATTATAACTGCAGCTATAAGGTTATGGTGTAAGGAGGTCCCCTGTCTCCCCGCACACAGTGTATTATAACTGCAGCTATAAGGTTATGGTGTAAGGAGGTCCCCTGTCTCCCCGCACACAGTGTATTATAACTGCAGCTATAAGGTTATGGTGTAAGGAGGTCCCCTGTCTCCCCACACAGTGTATTATAACTGCAGCTATAAGGTTATGGTGTAAGGAGGTCCCCTGTCTCCCCGCACACAGTGTATTATAACTGCAGCTATAAGGTTATGGTGTAAGGAGGTCCCCTGTCTCCCCGCACACAGTGTATTATAACTGCAGCTATAAGGTTATGGTGTAAGGAGGTCCCCTGTCTCCCCACACACAGTGTATTATAACTGCAGCTATAAGGTTATGGTGTAAGGAGGTCCCCTGTCTCCCCGCACACAGTGTATTATTACTGCAGCTATAAGGTGATACCCCATTCACCCTTGTGGATTCCCCTGCCTTCTTGACCTTATCCCAGGGGAGGTGACATTCTCAAGTCACTATTAGGATCCTGGATACCTCAGTCGGGAGAGCATCAAAATTTTAATCTGAAGGTCCCTGTTTGGGTGCTCTCCTGATTTTAGTTCACCAATATGAAAACTTGCTAATGTTAATTTTAACGCAAAGAAACTATGGATATGAGTTATATTTTCCTTTCTCATGCATTCTCATGGTTGTCTCCCTTGGCGAGGTGGCAAACTCTGATATTTCAAGCTTTAACTTTAAACAACATTTTACTGTATAAATCAACAAATACGTGTGAGGAAGGGTTAAGGTGTAAAGAACACATAGCAGTCATTTAATTCCTGCATTTATCTATATCTCACTTAGAAAGCGGTGATGCATGTTCTAAGCAAGCCCTGCTTATTTTATACACGCAATTACACCAAAATCCAGGGTGGTCTTTTTCAGCAAGACTTGTTGAAAGTAAAACTCTGCTTTTAGGATCAGTAAAATCAAAGTATTTTGTCTCTTAGTACAGCTTGCCAAAAAGATGGCTATCTCGTTCACAGATTACGTTCTGCTCTAATCCCTCGAAGATCTTCTGATTAGTCTGGCTATGAAAGTACTGTTAATATTTTGAGTGAGGAAGATTACTCCAATAGGAACGAATTTCTGATAAAACACAGTAGATCTGTGTGATTTTTGCAATATGGAGGGAACGTGGTACTCTCCACAAAAACATTTTACAGCAGTAGTTGATTTGGCTGCTGGATTACAACTCCCATTATCCATTCATTATAATGGTGTGTAACTATAAGTCCCAGCATTCTGAATGGCAGACACGGGGCAGTGTGAGGGCGGTGGGTGATGTTGGGAGCTGGGGAATTAATTATGGCTTCATAAATCATTCATGTTATTTATAAAATGGGTTAAATAAATTATATTAAGAGTAAAGCATTTTATTTATATAATATTGTTTATAAACATATTAATTACAGTTAAAACAAGTTTTACCGGGGCAGCACAAAACGTGTTAGATCTTGATGTTTTCTTACTGTGTTCTGCCAGGAGCAGAAAAGACTGAACCCAAATACTCAACTTTATCTTCCAATACTGGAGTTCCACAAAAACATCTATCAGTTATACAGTAATCCAGGCAGTAAGGCAAACCCAGCTCTGTTACACGCTCATACACACTGCACATTACTCGGAGTATTATTGCTGTGGAGCTCTGTTACACGCTCATACACACTGCACATTACTGGGAGTATTATTGCTGTGGAGCTCAGTTACACGCTCATACACACTGCACATTACTGGGAGTTTATTGCTGTGGAGCTCAGTTACACTACACGCTCATACACACTGCACAT